AAAAGCAATCTACAGATTTAATGCAATTCCCATCAAATTGCCAACACAATTCTTTACAGACCTGGAAAGAAAAATTCTCAACTTCGTATGGAATAACAAGAAACCGAGAATTGCTAAAACAATCCTCTACAATAAAAGATCTTCTGGAGGTATCTCCATCCCTGATCTCATGCTGTACTATAGAGCAACAATACTAAAAACTGCATGGTACTGGCATAGAAACAGAATGGTGGATCAATGGAATCGAACAGAAGACCCAGAAATAAACCCACACACTTACGGACACCTGATTTTTGACAAAGATGCCAAAACCATACAATGGAAAAAAGATAGCATCTTCAACAAATGGTGCTGGTCCAACTGGATGTCTACATGTAGAAAAATGCAAATAGATCCATACTTATCACCCTGCACAAAACTGAAGTCCAAGTGGATCAAAGACCTCAACATAAAACCAGACACATTAAATCGGCTAGAAAAAAAAGTGGGGAATACCCTAGAACTCATTGGTACAGGAGAAAACGTCCTGAACAGAACACCAACAGCACAGGCTCTAAGAGCAACAATCAATAAATGGGACCTCATGAAATTGAAAAGCTTCTGTAAAGCAAAGGACACCGTCAGCAAAACAAAGCGACTGCCTACAGATTGGGAAAGAATCATCACCAACCCTCTATCTGACAGAGGACTCATATCCAATATATATAAAGAAGTAAACAAGCTGAAAAGCAACAAACCAAGTAATTCACTTAAAAAATGGGGAACAGAGCTAAAGAGAGAATTCTCTGCAGAGGAATATCGAATGGCAGAGAAGCACTTAAAGAAATGCTCAACCTCATTAGCCATTAGGGAAATGCAAATCAAAACAACCCTGAGATTTCACCTTACACCCATCAGAATGGCCAAGATGAAAATCTCAAGGGACAACACATGCTGGAGAGGTTGTGGAGAAAGGGGAACCCTTCTCCACTGCTGGTGGGAATGTAAACTGGTACAACCACTCTGGAAATCAATCTGGCGCTTTCTCAGACAACTAGGAATAGCGCTTCCTCAAGATCCAGCCATACCACTCCTAGGCATATACCCAAAAGAGGCGCAAGTACACAACAAGGACATATGCTCAACCATGTTTGTAGCAGCTTTATTTGTAATAGCCAGAAGCTGGAAACAACCCAGATGCCCCTCAACTGAAGAATGGATGCAGAAACTGTGGTACATCTATACAATGGAGTATTACTCAGCAATGAAAAATAAGGAAATCATGAAATTTGCAGGTAAATGGTGGGACCTGGAAAGGATCATCCTGAGTGAGTTGACCCAGAAGCAAAAAGACACTCACGGTATATACTCACTCATATAAACATACAATATAGAATAAACCCACTAAAAGCTGTACATCTAAACAAACTAATCAAAAGAGAGGACCCTAACTAAAATGTTCAATCCCCATCCTGAAAGGCAAAGAGGATGTACATCAGAAGAAAACAAAAATAGGAAACAACCTCGGAACCCGCTACAGAGGGCCTCTGAAAGCCAGAAGAAAACAGGAAACAACCTTGAAACCTGCCACAGAGGGCCTCTGAAAGCTTCTGCAGTATAGACTGTCAAAGCAGATGCTGAGCCTGATGGCCAACTGATGGGCAGAGTGAATGGAATTTTATGTAAGAAGTGGGAAATAGTAAGAGCTGGAGGGAACGGGAACTCCACAAGCAGAGCAACAGAACAAGATAATTTGAACACAGGGAACTTCCCAGAGACTCATACTCCAACCAAGGACTATTTGTGGAGATGACCTGGAACCCCTGCACAGGTGTAGCCCATGGCAGTTCAGTGTCCAAGTGGGTTCCATAGTAATGGGAAGAGGGACTGCCTCTGACATAATCTGATTGGCCTGCTCGTTGATCACTTCCCCCTGAGGGGGGAGCAGCCTTACCAGGCCACAGTAGAGGACAATGCAGCCACTTTTGATGAGAACTGATAGACTAAGATCAGAAAGAAGGAGAGGAGGACCTCCCCTATCAGTGGACTTGGGGAGTGGCATGCATGCAGAAAGGGGAGGGAGGGTGGGATCGGCAGGGGAGGAGGGAGGGGCTCATGGGGGGATACAAAATGAATAAAGTGTAATTAATAAAAAAAATAAAAGATTTAAAAAAAAAGATGTATGTCAGTTAGGGTGAAGGAGTGGACTATGAGTTCTCCTTTACTTTATCACCAAAATAACTGCTTGAGATTTTAACACCTGAGAATCTATGTTCTCATCTTTTAAACAGTTTTTGTCCATCATTTAATAAGAAGATCTGGCACTGTAATTCTGTGTTTGTGGTAAGTCCTAAAGTAGCATTAAAGGCAAATATAACTGCCTAACATTGAGAGAGCAGCCTGCTGGCCTGCTTTGGGTTTAAATATGCTATTACAGAGTATATTTTTACATAGAAGAAGGCAGTAGCTTAAGTCAAAAACCATTTTTTTATGGTGAGGGTGTCTGAGAAAGGATCTCAATTCAGTAGATCACTTTGATCTCGAACTTACCAGCAATTCTCTTCCCTAAGCCTCCCAATTGCTGAGAGTATAGGCACGCATGACCACATCCAACTTTGAAGTCAATACTTTTTGACAGATGAAGTCAACTAAAATGAGTGAATCAGGAATTTGTGAAAGGTACATGACCAGATATGGTGAACTATGATAATGAGTAAAACTAAATGATATTGCTCTCAGCTGTCAAAGCACATTTACTAGTTGTATAGGAAATAAAGTAAATGCTTTGTGAGGTTATATAAATGTGGCTCAGGGAAAAAAAAATGGTTTAAGAATTGTAAGAGTTGTGCTTTAACAACCTCTGCTAATAAACAGCTACATGTCCTACTGTTCCCTTCTCCCACCGCAGTTAAAGGAAGTTGGTCTAGGTGACTGCTGATCCTTTACAGCTTTTAAGTATTATTACCTTGAATTCTATATAGGAAAGCAAAAGCTTGCCCATTCTGCTGCCAATTCAGAAAATCATCAGGGGAAAGCCATAGTATAGCTAGCCTGGTATGGCAGACATTATGAGAGTTTCTCATCTTTGGCTGTAGGCTTGTGGTTGCAAAGAATCACTTTGAATTGGTATGACTTTTATGACTTTTATCCTGGATAAATGAGTGTGCCAAAAAAGATAGTTGTCTTAATCCCAGAACTTGGGAGGAAGAGGTAGGTGTATCTCTGAGAGTCCAAGGCTAGCCTGGTCTACATATAGAGAAGTCCAGGACAGCTAACTCTACAGGTGGAGAAGTAGGAGAAAGGGGAGTAGAAGACAGGTACATGTTTAAGCCTTATAGGACTGTTACTGCAAGTGCAAGACAAGTGTCATCTTTACATAGACTGCAAAACCCAGAAAGACTAGTACACCAGTGGGCCTCCCACTTCATCTGTCAGGAAGGTAAAATAATGTCAATGCCAGAGTCAGTTACTCTGGACTCTATAGTAAACCTCTCTTTAAGCTGTGTAGTTTATTTGTGCATCTGGGGCAATGACTCTTGACAACTGATCACCTGTTAATTGTTTATTCTGTTTCAGATGGTAACACTATCCTAAAAAAAAAGGATAACAGTCATTTTGATGTACAGCTCACATAAATGTGGTGATTGCACTTCTATTTAGATGTAAGAATAAGCCATGTATTGTGGCACATGCCTATAATCCCAGCAGAGACAGGAAGAAATAGAACTCTCCTTCTCTAGTACCATGTCTGCTGTATGCTGCCATGCCATGCTTCCTACCATGATGATAATGGACTAAACCTTTGAACTGTAAGCCAGCACTAATTAAATGTTCTCCTTTGTGGGAATTGCCATGGTCAAGGTGTCTTTTCACAGCAATAGAAACCTATCTAAGACAGACCTTGTCTAAAAAAAACAAATCAATAATAACAACAAAAACAATCAAATAAAGAAAAATTCCATTACGAAAAAAATGTCTTAGGAACATGGCAAGTCTGAGAGACAAGAGGATATGAATCAAAACACCAAAAGAATGGATGGTGGTTCCTTCTATGGGTAGTCAAACTACCTAAGCAAATAAGTAAATACATAATAGTTTAAAAAAAATACTTGGAAGAGTGATGCATAAAGGTCTATTTAGTAAACCCTCATTAAAAAAAAAAAAAATTCAAGTTGGGTGCCGTGGCACATGCCTGTTTTTCCAGCACTTGGAAGGCAGAGGCAGGAGGATCTCTGTGAGTTCAAGGTCAGCCTGGTCTACAAAGTTCAGGACAGCCATGGCTACACAGGGAAACCATGTTTCGAAAAACCAAAAATGAAATCAAAGGGAAAAGAAAACAAAGAACGACTAAACTCCAATTTTAATTTCTAACATATAAATAGAAGATCCATTAACTTTTATTTAATTTTTTCATTTTACTTTTTTATTATTATTTTTGTCTCTCATATATTACATCCTGACTGCAGTTTCTCCTCTCCTCCCAGTCCCTTCCTTACCATCCCCCCATATCCACTCCTCCTCCTTTCTCTTCAGAAAAGTGCATGCCTCCCAGGAATATCAACCAAACATGGCATATACATGGGATGCTTATTTTTATTCAAATATTTTTCTCTAAAGTGTCACAAGACTGATCCCTCAAGTCCCTTGAAATGTCCGCAAAAAAACAAAAAAAAAAAAAAGTAAGCAAAATGTCAGAGAAGAGAAGGCTCCGATGGCCACTTAATCTGAGGCAAACCTTTGTAATCTGAGGTAAACACCCTCTCATATCACTCAGTTTTTAAATTTTCGATATGGCATTTATTAGTATCTGAAATGAACTTGTACTGTCTCCTTTTATTGTTCCTCATGTTCTTCAGAATAAAATGTCTGTGTGAATAGGGACTGAATCTTGTTTATTGTTGTGCCCACAAGTTCTAACAAAAAAGGTTTGCAGTGCATAAAGACTCAATTATAAGCTGAAAGAATAAATTAATGAATGGGGCTGGTCGAGATGTACTATATGAGGAAAATAATTGAAATACCTTTAATGTTGGAAACATCAATATTGAGCTGTCCAAGTTTTTCACACGTTTTCTCTATACACTCATAAACAGACTGCAGGATTTCCTTCGGGTCTTGTTCTACCCATCTTTGGATCAAAAACATAAATGTGTTAGTCTCAAAAATTCAGTACAAATCTAACATGTTTCCACAGATAAGTTAACTTATTAGACGTACCTAGTACATAAGTGAAAAAATAGGATAAGCAAACTATATTTATATTTTACATTCTAAAGGAATAAAAAAAAAACATTTCCCTTACATGTTCTTAAATTTTTCTTATTCCTCACAGAGTAATATAATAATTTATCCTTGTAAGGACATTCATTAACCAGGTGGCTCACATTTCAGATCCCAGGAATTGGGAAGCTAAGGCAGCATGACCATTTTAAGTTCTAGGCCAGGCTGGTCTGTAGACTGAAACTACCCTGGTTCCAAAACCAAAAAAAATAAAGCAAAACCCCTAAAAAGTAATAATTTTGCCACTGTTACAGGGACATAGAAATAAATGACTTCAGAGTTAGTGCAGAATTTCTGATAGTTAATAGTTTTTGTTATATTACTTATACTTTGCTTTCCATCACTGAATTCCTAAGCTACCCATGGTTAAGACATTTTGGCTAAGTTACTAGATTATAGCTTTATTTCTTGACCAATCACATCCTCTCAGGTCTTCTCAAGAGGCTATTGGCTAAGTCTATTATACCAATCTAAAACACACATGAGGTGAGATAAATCAATAAATATGGCATGTCTTTAAATATTAAGAAACATACCCTTCTCTTGGGAATTCCTGTTTTATTTCTACTTGATGATGACTAAGAAGTTCAGCTGTCTTTGAATTGAAAACCTGAAAAACACATCAGTATGAAAATGCAGGTTGATATCACATCTGTTTGAAGTTACTAAGCAATGAAGTTCTTATTAGCATATAGAAAATATTGAATCATATCAAATGACCAAAAATGATGTTTGGTTTATTCTTCAGACAGAATCATAAAACATTGCAATGTGGGTGGCTGTACAGATGATTCAGTGGTTAAGACCACTTGCTTTTCTCTCAGAGGACTCAAGTTCGATTCCCAGCAGCCACTTCAGTTGACTTATAACGTCCTGTAACTCCAACTCCAAAGGGTCTGATGCTTTTGTCTGGCTTCTGTGGGTGTGTGTAGGTACACTAATGGGCTACTTTCAAGGTATGTGCTTCCTAAACACACACACAGAGGAAGGGAGGATGATACAACAAACACATACATACAAACAATAAAAATGTAGTCAGGCATGGTGGCACACACATTTAAGCCCAGCACTCAGGGGGGCAGAGGTAGGCAGATGCTGTAAGTTTGAGGTCAACCTGATCTACAAAACGAGTACAAGATAGTCAAGGCTACACAATAAACCTTATCTTGAAAAAAGAAAAATAATAAATAAAATAAAATAAAAATATGTCAAAATAGCAATGTCAAATAAAAAATAACTTCTCATAACCAGGACTGATGGGAACTCACACTCAGGAGGATAAGGGAAAAGAAACCAGAGTTGGAGGCTTGCCTGAGCTACAATGTGACATCCTATCTATAAAAAAGTATAAACAGTTTCTCCAAAAAACAAAAACAAAAACAAAAACAAAAACTGAGGGCCGGAGAGATGACTCAGTGGTCCCTGATTTCCATTCTCAGTAACCATATGGCAATTCACAATCCTCTGTTACTTCAGTTCTAGGAGATTTGGCACCTTCTGGACTCCATGGACATCAGGCATGCATGTGGTACACACACAGGCAAAACACACATACACATAAAAATAAATCCTTCTTTAAAAAAGAAATGAAAGAATATCTTCTGAGACGGTACTGTAAACCTGATCAGGGGCCTATACACATAAAAATAAATCCTTCTTTAAAAAAGAAATGAAAGAATATCTTCTGAGACGGTACTGTAAACCTGATCAGGGGCCTATGGCTGGGAAGGGTATAGGCTTAGAAGGGAACCTATTACTACTGCTTTGCTAAATGGACATGTTATTAAACTGACTTCCAAAAAACTCATGTATAATATACCGAGATATTAGTATTGCCCTCAGTCCTAATTAGAGAAGCTTCTGGTAGCTGTTGGGGGAGCAGTTAATACAGAGACTCATTAGTGATCAATGTGTTAAGAGTAAAAAAGTGATGATGTATGACAGGACATCTATTCTATCCCTCCAAGAATTGGGGAATCTTCAGAGAAGAGAGGATAAGACAATGAAAGAGCTGGAAGATGACTGGTATGGCACAAAAGATGTCTTCTAGACATAGTTGTTGCCCTCATAAACCCACTTCAGCTGTGCTTACCTGCACAAAACAAACAACAAATAAACAAAAAATACACCAGATTCCATCTGTCAGCATTTCATCACAGACAGAGAGGGGCTCATAGGGCATTACCACCCCTGACACAGTTTTGGCATGCATGTTCATGAAACCAACTATAATTAAAGTCAGTAGGTCACACATAAAATAAAAGGCAATGTAAGAGCAGGTCTTCATGGGCAGAAGAATTTCTGCAGAAAATGGAGGAAGAGATGAGAGAGGGCAAAGAGGGTGAAAAACAGCTAAAATTCCCTACCCCCATGTTTGAATGTGTTAAAGAAAAAATACTGAAAATACATTTAAGAGAATTTCTCTTGAGAAAAAAATATACAGAATAATTTTTTTTTTAAATGAGGAAATTTCTGCCAGGTGTGGTGGTATACACCTGTAACCTCAGCATTCTGCAGACTTAGGCAGGAGGATTGCCATGAGTTTGAAGGCAGACTGAGCTACATAGCAAGGTTGAGTCAAAAAAAAAAAGGCAGCTCTTTACCTATAAATAAACCAAGATGGTTCTTTACACAATGAAAATTAATACAAATAATAGCATGGACTTTCTTGAAAAATTAAGAATAAGAAAGTTGCTATATTCTCATTCATCTTGGATAAGAAAGATGCTCAGGCAGGATTGAGTGCTGTGAATTCCTTTCCAGGGAGATGCAGTGGTGCCTTCATCAAGCTCTTATAACAGGGAAATAGAGCCCTATCAGCAAGTAGAGACATGGCTAACTGGAAGACTCCGCTACCTAGGCACTCTCTGGGGCATCTGTGTCATCAACTGCAGATCCCTGATACAAAACATTAAAACCTGTGGCTGGAGAGATGGCTCAGCAGTAGAGCACTGGCTGCTCTTCCAAAGGTCCTGAGTTCAATTTCCAGCAACCATATGGTAGCTCATAAAAATCTGTAATGTGATCTTGTACCCTCTTCTGGTGTGCAGTCACAAATACAGGCAGAATATTGCATGGTTTTAGAAGAATGCATAATTTAACTAAAATCAACTCTCCAAATTACTGTAATTATAGCATAAAAGTAATTTCTAATTAGTTCATAGAGTAGTTCTATGTCTCAGATTCCTGTGGATGAAAATTACCTGTCCATTGCAGACTAAGAAAAACAACAGCAAAATGAAGCCAGTTGCTTCCTTCCTTTGGCATAATACATACCAGTTTTTTCTGGAGAAGTGATAAACATACAGCAAGAAGGAAAATCCTTTGAGAAGATAAAATATCTTACAAGTCAAAGGTTAACTCAACATCATAAAAAAAAATACCTGACAGAATCCCATGCCATATCTTATGATTTACAACTTAGTACTAGTGTAGATGCCTAGGCCGTATGCTCAATTAGCTGTGATTTGTTTATTGACATAACTCCAGGACACAGAATGGTATATTGCACCTTCATTGATGATCTGAATATATGCTCTATTATAAGTACTTACTTGCAGAAAAATTATGAATTAAGAATAGCAGAGGTAGGTATGGAGGCTCACATATATAATGTAATAAATGGGGAGGCAGAGGCAGGATACTTGCTGCAAGTTTGAGGCTAGCTTGGTCTTAGATTATCTAGATATTGAATTACAGGTCATCTAGAGAACTAGCAAATAAATAAACATCTCAAAAAGACAAAAGGGGGGAAGAAAAGGAAATGATGGATAAAATGAGATGGTAGAGTGCTAGTGTAGTTTAGGTGGTGGGACTGCTTACCAAGCGTGTACTATAAGCCTTGGGTTTGATACCCAGAACTGCATGAAGCTAAAAAAGTAGTGGTATATATACCTATAAACCTACAGCCCACACTTAAGTGTTATTGACAGGAAGATCAAGAGTTCAACGCCAGGCTGGTCTACGGCCCCTGTCTGAATAAATAGTCAAAAACAGTGATACATGCCTTTCATTCCAGCACTTACTTGAAAAATAGGGGCAGGCAGACCTCTGAGTTTGGGGTCAACCTCCTACAAGATTTACAAGGCCAGCAAAAGATACTTAGTGAGATTTTGTTTCAAAGTAAGTAACAAACAAAAAATGGCAGGAGTGAGGTATGGTGACTCATACTTGGAATCCCAGGACTGGGGAGACTAAGACAGGAGGACTACTTACAATTTTGAAGCTAGCCTCAGCTGCATGGTAAGTTCCAGGCCAGTCTAGGCTATAGTGTGAGGGTCTTTCAAGATAAACTGGGAAGATGGCTCAATAAGAGCATCTTTCTAAAAAATAATAGTAGGGAGAATGGCTGGGGAGAAGGGAGGGAGGGAAAGAATAAGGAAAAAAATAAAATGATCAATAGTCTTATAAGGCTAGGAGGTCTACAGTACATTATTGTTCACATATATCTAGGTTCAGAGTCTTAAGGAATTTTATGGTAAAAGGCAATAATAAATAACATTACTAGTAGCAAGAATGCTACTTGGTTGTTACAGGTTGTTTTTTTCCAAAGTGATTTCAGAAGCCTTTGTCAAGCCTGCCACCTGTAATACAGGCACCTTAAAAGGAAGAGCAGGACCATGAATTTCAGGTCAGCCTGGGTTCCAGGAGACCCTGTCTCAGAAAAACAAACAAAACCAAAGCATATTGAGGTTATGGGACATGCCAAAGAACCTGCGGTATGGCCCAGCATTTTTAGACAGTTCTTATTGCTTTTCCAGGACTTTTCAAGAGATGGGAAGAAAAGACAAAAAAAAAAAAAAAAAAAAAAAAACCACAAAAAACAAACAAACAAACAATTTTATGTAAGAAGTGGGAAATAGTAAGAGCTGGAGGGGACAGGAACTCCACAAGCAGAGCAACAGAACAAGATAATTTGAACACAGGGAACTTCCCAGAAAATCATACTCCAACCAAGGACTATTCATGGAGATGACCTGGAACCCGTGCACAGGTGTGGCCCATGGCAGTTCAGTGTCCAAGTGGGTTACATAGTAATGGGAAGAGGGACTGCCTCTGACATAATCTGATTGGCCTGCTTATGGATCACCTTCCCCTGAGGGGGGAGCAGCCTTACCAGGCCACAGTAGAGGACAATGCAGCCACTTTTGATGAGAACTGATAGACTAAGATCAGAAAGAAGAGGAGAACCTCCCCTATCAGTGGACTTGGGGAGTGGCATGCATGCAGAAAGGGGAGGGAGGGTGGGATCGGGAGGGGAGGAGGGGGGGCTTATGGGGGGATACAAAATGAATAAAGTATAATTAATAAAAAAATTAAAAAAAAACCTCCAGATGGGCCTGTGGATTAGATCCTACCTGCAGTTCACATGTAGACTTCAGCTTCTAGCTTCAAGTTCCTCAAAAAAAATGAAGTTAACAACAGAGTTTTAAAATGAAACCAAAGACATTACCAACTGGAACCTGTGGCTCTAATACATTATACTCATATTTACCAGGTAAGAGAGCCAGATTAGACAATGCTGACAAATTGCTAAGAATCAGTTTTCTCAATATCCATTCAGTATGTGCTGGCTAGTTTTATGGCAACTCGACACAAGCTAGAGTCATC